GGGGCGCGGGGGGGGGCTCAGCTCACTTTCTCCTTGTGTTTAGTCTGGCTTCCTAGCCTGTGGGTCCTCACGCCAGAGTTAAAGCTCATTACACCCTCACAGACAGACAGTCCCAGAGGTGTGAAACTCCTCAGTGTTTCCAAATCCAGTCAGGCTGACAATGGAGATTCACCGTGACTTCAGGATCAGCAGAGTGTGGGTGTCAGTGATCACCATCACACAGGAAGGGGTTTTCTGGAGAGCTGGCTGCTGTTTCCTTCCCAGCCTGGCTGCTGATGGAACATGGGCCCAGCACACTCTGCCAGCTTCAAGTCTGCTTGGTCCAACAATGCTTTTTTACATGTTTGCAAAGGCCCTTGAGAGGCTGGGATGTGGTTTGATTGGCAGAGTACTAGCCTTAAAAGAAAAAGAAAAAGAAAGACCTCAGGGGCTGGATAGATGGCTCAGCAGTTAAGAGCACTGACTGCTCTGTGGAAGACCTGGGTTCAGTTCCCAGCACTTATATGACGGCTAGTAAAACCATCTGTAACCCCTGTTCCAAGGGATCCAACACCCTCTTCTGACCGCCACAGGCATTGTATGACATGGGTAGGCTTACATACATGCAGGCAATACACTCATACATAAAAATCTTTTTAAAAAAAAGAAATGTAGGGTCTGGGTAGATGGCCCAGTGTTTGATGTACAAACGTAAGGACCTGAGTTTGAATCTCAGTGGCATAATGCACGCCTGTGCTCCTAGTGCTGGAGATGCAGTAGCAAGAGGACCCCAGGCTTGCTGGTCCACCCGTCCCAGAATCTGTGAGTTCTGAATTCAGAGAAAAGACCTTGTCTTGAAAAATAAGATAGATAAGCAACTGCAGAGTCCTTGGCCCTAAATGGAACATCTATACACCCTCCAAGGCTCAGGGAACGCTGTAGAAGAGGGGACAGAAAGAATGCCAGGGCCAGAGGATGGGGTAGAGTGTAACAGCACAGTGTCTTCCGGACATGACACAGTCATTGCACAAGATTAGGTCATCAACGTTTCGTCATGGATAAGGGAGAGGCTCACGAGGCCTTGGCTTCATGGAGTAGACACAGACAGCCATGGTTCCTGGGGGAAGGGGCGATACTTTCTTCAGTGGTTCCATCACTGGTAAGTTTCCTTTGCTCCAGTAAATAATCCACCACTCAGGGTTAAAAAATCAAGGGGCTGGAAAGATGGTTCAGCGGTTTTGAGCACTGGCTGCTCTTGCAGAGGACCTGGGTTCAGCTCCCAGCATCTACATGTCTGCTAACAACCATCCGTAACTCCAGTTCCAGGGATACGACTCTCTGTTCTGACCTCCATGAGCATTGCACACATGTAGTGTACTTACATACTTGCAGGCAAAACACTTATACATATAAAATAAAAATAAATAAAATCTTCCTTTTAAAAGAAGTCATTGAAATAGGAGAGACATTTCAATGAAGGAAGATTACAACAGGAGAGACAGGAGAATGTGAGAGCGTAAGGAGGGGTTTGAAAATGACCAAAGTTCAGTATATATGCATATGAAATTTAATTAAAAATGAAGATACTGGGCTGGAGAGATGGCTCAGTGGTTAAGAACACTGTTCTTGCAGAAGACCCGGGTTCAAATTCCAGGTTAAGAACACTGGTTGTTCTTGCAGAAGACCCAGGTTCAAATCCCAGCACCCACATGGCAGCTAACAGCTGTCTATAACTCCAGTCCCAGGGGATCTGACAGCCTCTTCTGTCCTCTGCAGGCATTGCACGACACAGGTGTACTTACCTACAAGCAGGCAATACACGCATACACATAAAATAAAAATAATAAATAAAATATTTTTAAAAATGAAAATACTGTGGAAAGATTTTAAAGACTCTATTGTATAGATATACCAAATTCCTTTATCCATTCTTCATGGATGGATACTTCCGGTTATTACATGAGGTGGGTATTGTGAACAGAGCTGAAGTAAACACAAATTTGTAGATAAAAAAATAAGTTGGGGATTTAAAAGAAATAAATTGGGAGCTGAAGAGATGGCTTAGTGGTTAGGAGCACTGGCTGCTCTTGAAGAGGACCCGGTTCCCAGCACCCACGTGGAGGGTAGCACCCATCTGTAACTCCCGTTCCAGGGGATCTGGTACCTTCTTCTGGCCTCTGTGGGTACCACACTCGTGATATACAGATGTATATACATCCAGGCAAAACACTCAAACACATAAAATAAAATCTTTAAAAGAAAAAGCCAGGTGTGACCCATGCCTTTGATCCCAGCACTCAGCAGGCAGAAGTAAGTGGATCTCTGTGAGATCAAGGCCTGCCTGGTCTACATAGAGAGTTCCAGGCCAGCTGGGGCTACAGGGAGACCCTGTCTCAAATTATTTAAAAAACTATTTTAATTTTAATTTTTTCAAAAAAAGTTTTTATGGTGGTATGTCATATGTGTAATTCCAGCACCCAGGAAGCTAGGCAGGAGGATTACCTGAGTTTGTCTTAGGCCAGCCTGATCTACAAAGTACATGGCAGGGCTATGCTACACTTTAAGACCTTGCCTCAAAAACAAAACAAACACAACAAACAAAAACAAAAAGAAATTCAGTTAGAATCCAACTGCTGAGGAACCCAGGTTGGGTACAGTTCTGTGCCTCTCTGGTTGCCTGCTTGGCAGTCCGACTTTTCTTCCTCCAGACTTGCTCTGGGTTCCAGTGGCCTGCTCCTCACACCACGCCCCTGTGGCCAGCCTCTCTTTCCTTCACCCTTCCCTGCCCCAGGTGTTGGAGGGCCCCACCCTCCCTGCTCACTCCTCCCCAGAATGAGGATTAGAACCCAGTTCCATGGTCACCTTGAGTCATCGTTGCTGGGCCAGTTGGAGAGGAGAGGAGAGGAAGTGGGGCCGGGTCTTCAGAGAGCTGTGAAGCTCAATTAAGGTTATTAGCTGAAGAGAGTTTCTGCAGGATTAGAGCCTTGTCCTGCCCTGTCCTCCTCACCCTCTTCCACCCACCACCACAAGGAACTTGGGTGAGCTGGGACAGAGGGAGCAGGTGGGGCTGAGGACACAGGTGGACAGTAAGACAGCCGACTGGCAGGGTGGCCAGCAGATGAAAGGACAGGTAGGTAGGGTAAGTGGAAGAGAGAGAGAGAGAGAGAGAGAGAGAGAGAGAGAGAGAGAGAGAGAGAGGCTGAACTAGTGACAAAAGCCTAGAGGGCTGATGGAGGCTCTGAAGTAGTGGTCTCTCGGGCAGGGGGTAGAGAGAGAGGGCAGAGATGGAGACATGGGGAAGGGGGATCTCAGATACCCCACCTTTCCCAGCAGACCTTGGAGGCAGTTCACCATGAAACCCAGCATCCTCTTGCTCCTGTGTGTTGTGGGTGAGTTCTCTGATACAAGGGTGGGTAGGGCAGCCCTGGGGTTGGGTCCTTCCCCTGAAGGTAGGGGAGGAGGGAGCCCTGAGTCTCCAGCCCGCCTCACTCTTCTCTCGCTTTCCTTTTGGTTTTTGTTTTTCTGAGTTGGATCATGATATGTAGCCCAAGCTGGCCTACAACTCACTATGTAGCCCAGGCTGGCTTTAGATTTGTGGCAATCCTCCTGCCTCAGCTTTCTGAGTACTGGGAGGTCAGAGCCACCAGGTCTCACTTGGACTCGTTTTCTTCTCTGGATCCCTTTGGCATTTTTCTAGAGCCCCTTAGCTCTTGAGTCTTAGTCTCTCTCTGTCTCTCTCTCCCTCCCTCTCCCTTTCCTTCCTTCTTTTCTTCCAGACTGGGTCTCACTATGCAGCCCTGGCTGACCTGGAACTCTCTACCTAGACCAGGCTGGCCTCAAACTCACAGAGATCCACCTGCCTTCCCAACCGCTGGAATTAAAGGCCTGCACCATCGCACTCAGCTTGCTTTTCACCTTGACAGGTTTTCATGTCGTCCAGATTGGCCGCCTCCCTTTGTAGCCAAGGATGACCTTGAACTCCTGATCCTCCGGCTTCAGCCGGAATGTCAGGCTGTACTACCACACTCAGCCTTTGTCTGTCTGAGTTTCTGTTGAGTGCCCTGCATCTCTCCTCCTAATCCCCCACACCCACAGCCCTCTTCTCTGACCCCATCTATCCGGCCTGTGCCCCACGCCCCATCTCAGGTCTCAGCCAGGCAGACAGAGAGAAGATCTTTGACGGGGTGGAATGCGTTCGGAACTCACAGCCTTGGCAGGTGGGGCTGTTCCACGGTGGATACCTGCGCTGTGGCGGTGTCCTTGTGGACAGAGAGTGGGTCCTTACGGCTGCTCACTGCAGCGGCAAGTAAGAGCGGGCCCTTCCTGGGGTGTCAGGGAGCGGGAGAGGCGTAGGTGTCCCCGTGAGGGTGTCCAGGGGGGGAGTTGGTCCTACAACTGGCCAGCCTGAGGTTAGAGCATAACTTCCTCGAGAGTGGGGCTGGGTGGGGCGAGGTGCGGTGGGTGGAGGACCTGGGAGGGTCCCTCTGTCCCTCTACCATTTCCTCCTGTGTCTGTTTCTTTCATGAATGGCATTTATCACCACCCCCAGTCATTCTCTGAGACTCAGGGTGTTCCCAAACTTGAGGTTACAGCCTGTACCCCAAGAATCCGCATTCGGCCACCTGTCCTAAATAAGCCAATTAAAACAGCCTAAATAATACTGATAAAGATTTATTCTATGAGGCCACATTGGGAAGGGGGACAAAGAGATCCAGTGCTCCCCACCCACAGTCCATCCGGGGTTCCCGGTGTGAGACTGAAGCTTAACTAGAGGGCCAGGAACATTCACAGCTAAGCAATCCTGGTCAAGTCCATGGTTATCTAGGCTCCTGTTGTATCTTGTAAGGTGGTCTGACAAGTTGTTGGAACTGTGTGAAATCTCTTTCCAGAAGACAAGTTCCCCCTCTGACTGGTACCCTTCCCTTCGCCCAGCTCAGATTCCTGGGGAAATTCTCATTTCTCCATGGTCCATTGTTCCAACAGTCTGACCATCAGATTATTGAGATGCATGTGCCTCTTAGGAATACCTTCCTTCCCCAAAATAAAAGGAAATAATAATAATAATAATAATAATAATAATAATAAACACCTTCCTTCCTGACAGGCTGGTTACAAGGCTTACATCTGCCCCAATCCTGTGAGCTTAAGATTGTGCCTGTTACTTCTCTGACCTCAGTGGTCCTGGGTATAGAATGAACCTCCTTCTTCCTTCATTTCTCCGTTCTTTTGTTCCTTCCTTCCTTTCTTTTTGTTTTTTTAATATTTTATTATTTTTTATTTTAATGTATATGAATGTATTGCCTGCATGCGCGTAAGTGGACCCATGCCATGCAATGCCCGAGGAGGTCAGAAGAGGACATTGGGTTCCCCTGGAACTGGAGCTATGGACAGTTGTTAGCTGCCGTGTGGGTGCTGGGAATCAAACCCAGGTCCTCTGCAAGAGCAACCAGTGTTCTTAACAGCTCAGCCATCTCTCCTACCCGTTTTTGCTTTGTTGAGACAGTCTCACTATGCATTCCTGGTTGGCCTGGTATGCACTATATAGACCAGGTTGGCCTAGAACTTACAGAGATTCACCTGCCTCTGCCTCCTGAGTGATGGGATTAAAGGTGTGCACCACCATACCTGGCCCTTTAAAAAATTGTGTGTTTTTATTTTATGTGTATTCATATATTGCCTGCATGTAGGTAAGTGCACCCATGTCATGCAGTGCTCGCGGAGGACAGAAGAGGATGTTGGATCCCCTGGAACTGGAGTTACGGACAGTTGTTAGCTGCCATGTGGGTACTGGGATTCGAACCCGGGTCTTCTGCAAGAACAGCCAGTGTTCTTAACTGCTGAGCCATCTCTCCAGCCCCCCAGCATCCCTTTTTTTGTATGTGTATGGCATGTGGTATGTATGTGTGTGTGCATGTATGTGTGTTTGCATCTATGTGTTTGCATGCATGTGGGTTCTTGTGTGAGTGAGGTGCAGGTGCGTGTGCACACGTTCAGAGGCCACAGGGTGATGGTGTTGATGACTTCCTTGATCATTCTCCGTGTTGTATATTGAGGCAGGCACTCGCTTGAACCCACAACTCACGGATTTCGCTAGTCTAGCCTGCCAGCTTGCTCGACATATCCCCTGTCCACCTCCTAAGCAGTGAGAATTGCAGGGGTAGCTATGCCCACTTGGCATTTACGTGGGTGATAGGGGTTCAGAACTCTGGTCCTCCTGCTTGCTAAGCAAGTACTTTACCCACTAAGCCATCTCCCCAGCCCCAAATGAACCATTTTCTAGATCTGGACTTTTACTGTGAAAGGGGAGCCTGGGTATCAACAGACTTTGGTGTGTATTCACTCGCTCAGCCAGCAGCACCGACAACATTGTCAGGGTGCAGGTGGTTGGAATGAACAGGGCAGTCAGTAAAGCTAAGGACCTCCCTGCCCTCATGGGAGTCAAACACAGGTATTACCCCAAATGCAAAGACAAACAAGAGACAGAGACCCAGGGGGAGGAGGTGACGGCTACCCATCTGCCACTTGCTGCCCCCCTTCCCTGATCCCCAGCTATATTGTGCGCCTCGGGGAGCACAGCCTCTCCAAGCTAGACTGGACGGAGCAGTTTCGGCTCACAACCTTCTCCATCACCCACCCTGGCTACCAGGGTGCCCAGCAGAGCCACGAGCATGACCTCCGGCTCCTGCGGCTAAGAAGACCTGCCCGACTTACCCACGCTGTCCGGCCCCTGGCCCTGCCCAGTTCCTGTGCACTGGCTGGGACCCAGTGTCACATCTCAGGATGGGGCACCACCAACCAGCCATGGGGTAAGAGGATCTTGGGGTCAGGGGAGAGAGTGGTGCATTTCACAGGAAGGGTGGGTCAAGGATCAGGACATAGGGCTGAACATCAGGGTCAAGGGCCATAGTTGGTGAGAGTCTTGGGAAGTCACTGTATTAGGGGATTGTGCGTAAGGTCAGAAGCCAGGGGTCAGAGTGCTGCCAAGGGCCATCAGGATATCATAAGTCATGGGCTTAGGTGTTAGAGGTCATTATAAAACTGATACCCAGTTGGGCCTGTCATCCCAGCTACTTGGGAGGCTGAGGAAGGAGGAAGGAAGGATCAGGGCCAGCTTGGGCCATGTAGAGAAACCTTGTCTCAAAATAAAAAGGTAGAGAAGACTATGGATATGGTTCAGCAGCAGAGACCCTGCCTAGACTTCCCAGTGAGGGCTGGGGTGTGGCTCAGCGGTAGAGCCCCTGTCTAGGATTCCCCAGTGAGGGGCTGGGGTGTGGCTCAGCAGTAGAGCCCCTGTCTAGGATCCCCCAGTGAGGGGTTGGGGTGTAGCTCAGCTGTAGAGCCCCTGTCTAGGATTCCCCAGTGAGGGGCTGGGGTGTGGCTCAGGGGTGGAGCCCCTGCCTAGACTCCCCCAATGAGGGCTGGGGTGTGGCTCAGTGTAGAGCCCCTGCCTAGACTCTCCCAGTGAGGGCTGGGGTGTGGCTCAGTGTAGAGCCCCTGCCTAGACTCTCCCAGTGAGGGCTGGGGTGTGGCTCAGTGTAGAGCCCCTGCCTAGACTCTCCCAGTGAGGGCTGGGGTGTGGCTCAGTGTAGAGCCCCTGCCTAGGATCCCCCAGTGAGGGCTGGGGTGTGGCTCAGTGTAGAGCCCCTGCCTAGACTCCCCCAATGAGGGCTGGGGTGTGGCTCAGGGGTAGAGCATCTGCCACACATTCTTGAGGTCCCAGGTTCAATCTCCACTGGGGGTGGAAAGCTGAGGTCAGGAAATCAAAGTCTAGTCAGAATTGTTATCTAATGTCAGAGATTAAAAGTCATAGTGTTTGGGCCGGGAGTTCCATGCCATGGAATCTGGGGTAAAAAAAAACCACCAACAACAAGAAGAGGAGACACTTTTGAGTCAGGATGAAGAGTGAAGATCTGGAAGATGTTGAGCTGAGAGCCAAGGCTGAGGTGAGAGCAAGGGTGTGGGGTCAGGAGACACAAGTCTGAGGTGAGCCTGGGTGACGAGGTCACGAGGCCAATGGCCTGGGATCAAGTGTCACTGTGAAAATGAATCATGAAACTCAGAGTTTTCAGGATTGCAGTGGGTTAGGGACATGGTGGGTGGTGGGAGGTGTGGACATCCTTGTGAAGGATGTGACCTCAAAACGGGAAGCTCAGAGAACCCCCCCCCATCACCCATCTTCCATCTGCAGAACCATTCCCAGACCGTCTGCAGTGTCTCAACCTCTCCATCGTCTCCAATGCCACGTGTCAGGCTGTGTTCCCTGGAAGAGTGACAGAGAACATGGTGTGTGCAGGTGGCGAAGCCGGGAAGGATGCCTGTCAGGTGACTGAAGTTAGGGTGGTGACGGACATGGGACAGGGTGTAGGAGACAGAGAAGGAAGGAAAATAAAAGGTTTTAGGGGGTGGCTCAGGATGGACACTGAGACATTTACTGGAGAGTGAGGAGTTTGTTAGAAAAGTTATTATTGACATGGACAGGCAGAGAAAACAGTAGGTTGGGGGCTCAGAGCAGAGGAATCAGAGCCTAGGTAGCAGAAGAGGGGTCTCCTCCTCCTCCTCCTCCTCCTCATTATTATTATTATTATTAATTTATGTGTATGAGTGTACTGCCTGCAAGTGTGTAAGTGCATTCATGTTGGGCAATGTCCAAGGAGGTCAGAAGAGGACATCAGATCCTCTGGAACTGGAGTTACAGACAATTGTTAGATACTATGTAGGTGCTGGGAATCGAACCCAGGTCCTCTACAAAAGCATCCAGTGCTCTTAGCTGCTGAATCATCTCTCCAGCCTAGGGTCTCTTTTTATACGTGAGGGTGGGGGAGATTTCACAATCTGCAGTTAGGCTCTGTGATTCCCAGGCAGAAGGCTTGAAAGGGGGTGGTATGCAGGGCAGTGTGGCCACCAATACCCTCCTTTGATGTAAACTCACTCCCAAGTGAGCGATTCTGGCACTTTGGTGTCTATTAGCTAGGGACCCAGAACAGTGTCTCAGTAGGTGTATGTGGGTGACTGTGTGACAGGGAGAGCTGCACTGACCCGAGCAGAGCTTGGACTCTGACATCACATTCTTAGAGAAGAGCAAAACCAAGATAAGGGAAGGAGTCAGGGGGGAGCCGGGGCTAGACAGGAGGTAAGACTCAGCCTGAGGGAGGAAGAGGGACTCCCGGATGAAGGACAGCTGGAAGGGTACAGTGGGAGGCCCAGAAGAGGGGAGTACAAACAGGCAAGCGGTGGTGGGTAGACTTAGCCAGGGCTGGGTATGTCGGGGATCTGCCCTTCTCTAGGGCTCCAAGTCTTCCCTGGCTGCTCCCAGTTGAGAGAGAGAGAGAGAGAGAGAGAGAGAGAGAGAGAGAGAGAGAGAGAGAGAGAGAGAGAGAGAGAGAGACAGAGAGAGAGACAGAGAGAGAGACAGAGAGAGAGACAGAGAGACAGAGACAGACAGAGACAGACAGAGACAGAGAGACAGAGAGATATTTGGGGACAGTCACAAGGAACCAGCAGGCTGTGTCATGCTGCATCCTTGTCCTCTTGGAACCCCAGAGAACACTCTACCCTACTTGGCCAGAGACCCAACCACTCTGGTAGGGCATGCTCTACCCTTAGAGTCCCACCCTTCTTCCCGGGATTGGTTCCTATGGGCGCCATCTCCTTTCCTATAGATTAGCTGTTGCTATACCCTCCCTGGGGGCTATGCTGTCCTCCCTGCTTCCAGGACCAGCTTGAAGCCACCGTCTCCAAAACACCTCCTTCTGTCTTCCAGGGTGACTCTGGAGGCCCCCTGGTGTGCGGGGGAGTCCTTCAAGGCCTGGTGTCTTGGGGGTCTGTGGCGCCTTGTGGACAAAAAGGCATCCCGGGGGTGTATACCAACATCTGCAGATATGTGGACTGGGTCCGAAGGGTCATCAGGAACAACTAGCTGGTCTCCACCACCTCCACACCGCCCCACTTGGGGGCCTCTCTGACCCTCGAACATCAGCCTCCTCTCCACTAACGACTCCCTCTCTGGTTGGTTCAGGGAGCTTCTTGGAACCCTAAATCCAGACATTCCTTCTGGGATCTATGAAGGGGTGGAGGGGTGGGGCTGTACAATTTTTTTTGGGATAAATGCAATAAAATCAAAAGAGGGGTCTGCACCTGTGTGTTTAATATCCATTTTGAAGCTGGAGGAAGGTTTCCTCAGCACTGGAAAGGGTGGGGGTTTTTTAAGTTTAAAAAAATTATTATTTTTTTTATTTTATGTATATAAGTATATTGCCTGCATGTATGTAAGTGTACCCATGTCATGCAGTGCCCAAGGAAGTCAGAAGGAGGTATCAGACCCCCTGGAACTGGAGTTACAGATGGTTGTTAGCTGTCATGTGGGTGCTGGGAATCAAACCCAGGTCTTCTGCAAGAGCAGTCAGTGCTCTTAACCACTGAGCCATCTCTCCAGCCCAGTGTTTTTTATTTTTTTGAGACAAGGTCTCTCTGTAGCCCCAGCTGGCCTGGAACTCAGTATGTAGACCAGGTTCAGTCTCACAGAGACCCATCTGCCTCTGCCTCCCAAGTGCTGGAATCAAAGGCGTGTGCCACCGCTCCAGGCTCAGAAATGGCAGTTTTTGCCTGGTTTGGTGGCACAGGCCCATAATCCTGGTACTCAGGAAGTAGAGGGGGTGGCTACATAGTGACTTGGAGGCCAGCTCAGACACACAGACAGACAGACAGACACACACACACACACACACACACACACACACACACACACACATACACACACACACACACACACGCACACAGAGGTGGGAGTTTTCACTCAGTGACCTGTGGGCACGGAGTAGGAAAAAAAAATCACAATAAAGCCAAGGGCCATTTTTACCTCTGACAAGCCTGTAGAAATGTTACCTGGCGTCTACAAACCTTTTGGTGACCTTCATGAACCTAAAGCGGTAGAGAGAAAATTATTGGTTCCAAAATTCAAGTGCAAATGTAAAAATCAAAACTCCTGACCTTTTAATGAACTGGGTGTAAACAACATTTTTCCCCTCTAGCCAATTTATGCCTGAGTGTTCTGTGTTCTGCCCATGTCCTACCTGGTATGGGAAGTCCATCTGACTGTTTTAGTATTTTGGAGTGACCCAGCTGAAATCAAGGCTCCTGACCACCCCATGGATCCTGTCTACACAGCCTGTCCAGAAAGGAGAAAAGAATCCTTTTCTTAGAAACACAAGGGAGGGGACCTGGAGTGAGGCGCCAGCAGCACAGGGAACAGGGGTGTTTGCCAAGCCCTGTTCTGCTGGTCCTTCTCAGCATCCTCCTGGATTCTTAATCCAATCCCCCACCCCACCCCAAGGCAGGGCCAGCACCCCCTTGTCACAGATTAAGAAACTGAGCTTCCCTGGGGTGGAGTCACCCATCCCACGTCACCCGGATAGGAAGAGGCAGAGCCCGTGGGGTTTGAGGCCACGGTTGGCTGCCGACAGAACCCAGGCCTACCCCGCCTTGCCCCACATCTGGTTAGGGGAGAGAGGAGAGGAAGGCCAGGGCAAGACAGATCTGAATGAAAACAAACAGATTGGGCGAAGTGCGGCTCCGCACGCGGGGTTATCCAATGAGGAGGCCCAGGTGGTTGAAGAGTGACCGGAAGTCACCCACAGCATCCAGTAAGTGCTGGACACCTGGGTGGTGGGGTCAGGGGATCGGAGGGAAGGGTCAGTGGAGAAGGGAGGTCCACAGAGGAGCCCTGGGGCCGCCAGGCACAACTGCCAAGGTTTTTCCCTCTTTTCTTGGGCCTTGGCTGTCGCAGGCCCTGACCTGCCTCCCCCGTCGTCCTGTCCTGCCCCTTCTGCTTGGCAAGCAGCCCCACCTCTGTGACACCCTAGATTCCCCCCCCTTTGGAAAGGAAAAAGGAGGAGCCCAAAGTAGGACAAGGGGCCCCCTTGGCTCAGGCTGTGAGGAGGGAGCAGTGAACTGGAGGAAAGAGAGATTAGAAAGAAGACAGAGACAGAGGTACAGAGAGAGGCCAAGACAGAAAGGAAGGCGCAAGGCTTAGAGTTGAGACAGGAAGAGACAGGAACCAGAGCCGTGTAAGGACAGAAGCCTAGAGGCGGAAAGAGAGACACAGCACACAGATTCAGAGACAAGGCAGGGAAGGCAGAACTCCAAAGGACGAGTGGCCACAGATGCTTGGGCAGAGCAAGGGCTTGGAGAGGTGACAGACATGATGGACAGACACAGGGCCACCTGAGGAAAGCCCCCCCCACCCTGCCCCCAGGGTGACAAGGCCAGGCTAGGGGTCCAGTCATCCCGAGGCCTGCTGGATGCTCCGACCCAGCCTGCCCCAGCTGCCACTCCTGGGCCCCTAGAGCTTCTAGAATCTGTGAGTCAGGGAGGGAAGGGAGGTCATGCCCCTACCCCCATTCTAGGAGACTGTAGTTGAAGAAGCCAGGCCTCTGTGTCCCAGCATGCATTTTCCCCTGATGTGCCCTTGGCCCATGAGAGAGATCCTGGGACAACTCTCTGCACCTCTCCCTCTCCTCCACGCCTCTCCCCTCTCTTTCATCTCCAACATGCTGGCCCCTAAACCCCATGACCTCTGTCCCCAGCTTAGGTGGCAAAGTCCAGCCCTTCGCCCCCACCACTGCTGGCCAGGGCAGCTGGAGACACTGGCTGTCCCTTGGTCAGCCCCACCTACCTCTAGCCAGCTGTCTGTCTTTCACAGGAGTTTAGGGAGGTGGAGGGGAGGCACTTCATGGGTCGGGGCAGATCTCACAAGCCCCTATCACTTTGCTGTCGAGACAACAACAATCAGGTTGTTACCAAGTAGGTAACTCCATCCCCCTCTTCCCACTGCTCCGGGATGTGGAATCTGAGCAGGTACTCAGGTAGGCAAGAAGAGAAATAATATCCCCTAATAGTTCCCCTCCAACGGCCCCTTAAACACAGCCAGCCCAAGCATTTCGCCAGGCAAGGCCCTTCCCAAGCAGCTTTCTTATCCTTCAACATCCAAAAAGCTAGCCCGTATCCAGGCCTCTGTCCAAGGTTCCTCCTGAAACCTAAGATTTGCCTTACAAGTTTGGGGATTGGCTCAAGGAGCAGGAGGGTCCCCTGGGAGAAGTGGGGAGCCACAGCAGGTTAGGGAAAGAGTTAAAACCATGAGTCAGCCTTCCAGCCTCCTCTTAAAGTGATTAGGCCTCCTTCCTTGTTCCCAGGGGAACCTGGAGCCCACCCTGCCCCCCTCCAGGCCAGGATGATTCTGCATTTTGTTGCACTTGCTCTGGTCACAGGTATGGTGGGGGTTGGGGTGAGGGGTGGGGCCTCCCTCTCCTATTTCTAAATCTCCTCCCCTTCTGTCCGGACATTCAAAATATAGAACAACCCAGGTTGTTGTGCTCGGAGACCTCCCATGGAAGCTGCTCTGGGCTAGGTCAAGGATGGTCCAAGGGGTCTCAGAGGAGGGGTAAGGGGGGCTGGGTCATCCCAAAAGTTGAAGATAGCCACTACTGACCAGCCAGTGTGGAACCTTTCATACCCAATTGGGACCAGGAACACGCCCATGTCTCTCCTCCCCAGACTCATTTCTGGGGGACCCTCTACCAGCCTACCTCTTCTGATGCCTAACCCCCTCTTCTTTCACCCCCTTCAGGGCATGTAGGGGGAGAGACCAGGATCATCAAGGGTTATGAGTGCACCCCTCACTCCCAGCCGTGGCAGGTGGCGCTGTTCCAGAAGACGCGGTTGCTCTGTGGAGCAACCCTCATCGCCCCCAAATGGCTCCTGACAGCAGCCCACTGCCGCAAGCCGTGGGTGCGGGGGCTGGGGCGGGGCTGGGAGGGGGCTGGAGATGGAGAGATGGATGGAGAGAGGGGCTGGGGCTAGAGAGAATGTGGTGTGGCAGAAGTGGATGGAGGGATGGGGGTGAGGGTCTTTATGTGGATGATAGGGATGTAGTTGGCACTGGGGATGGGAGGGATGGGGTGGAACCGAGTTAGTGTTGATGACAGAACTGTAATCAGGATTGAAGATGGAGAGATGGAGGATGGGGTTACATTAGTATGGATGATGATCTAGTCGGGTTAAAGATGGAGGGGTGGGTGATGCTGAAAGTGTGTGGGATGTTGGGCTGGGGATCAAGCTGGGTATTCTTGAGGGTACCATCATCATCTCTCCCTCCCCACCCCTGCCCTGTCCCCCTGCCTTTCTGTCTCTGACCACATCTCTCCTACCTCAGCCGTTACGTGGTCCTTCTGGGGGAGCACAACCTTGAGAAGACAGACGGCCGCGAGCAGAAGAGGATGGCCACCGAGTCCTTCCCCCACCCTGGCTTCAACAACAGTCTCCCCAACAAAGACCACAGGAACGACATCATGTTGGTGAAGATGTCATCACCTGCCATCATCACCCGGGCTGTGCGACCGCTCACCCTGTCCTCACACTGTGTCACTGCGGGGACCAGCTGCCTCATTTCTGGCTGGGGCACCACATCCAGCCCCCAGTGTAGGGGCTCTGGAGGGAAATGTGGTTGGGGTGGGAGATGGGATGTTGGGGAGGGAGGGTCAGGGAGGGTCAGAATTAGGGAATGACAGGATCAGAGGAATCTTCAAAGACAAAAATCAGAGCCACCCAAGAGGGGTCAAGAGCCAGATATCCCAACACTTGGGAGGCAGAGGCAGGCAGATCTCTGTGAGATCGAGGCCAGCCTGGTCTACATAGCAAGTTTCAGGCCAGCTGGGGCTACAGGGAGACCCTGTTTTGACAAAACAAAAGAGTGGTATCAGCTGGACCAGAGGGAGGTGGGAAACCCACAATTGGGTCTCAGAGTTGGACAGGTGTGATCCCAAATCTGTAACTCATTAGTTGTGGAATCTTAGGCAAGTGGCTTTACCTCTCTGAACTTTTTGGTCTATAAAATGAGAATGCTCACACACCTGCCTATCATGGTTAGGTTAGAGATAATACATGGGGGCCGGGGTGGCAACATGAAGAATTCACCCAACAACATCATTGTTGCTATAGATTACAAGTGTAGAGATGGTTGAGGGTAAGGACTGTCTTGGATGCTGGGCACCACTGGTGGGGTTGGGGAGGCTGGGCCTCACTGCCCACACCGTCTCCTGCTGTCCCACAGTACGCCTGCCTCACTCCTTGCGATGTGCCAACGTCTCCATCATTGAACATCAGGAGTGTGAGAATTCCTACCCTGGCAACATCACCGACACCATGCTGTGTGCCAGTGTTCGGAAAGAAGGCAAGGACTCCTGCCAGGTCAGCAGGCAGGGGCTGGGTGTCCAGCCACACATCCATTCCCAATTTCAATCACATCTTCACCAGCATCCCCAGCCCTGATCCCGACCATCTTCACCCCCAACTGTTATCTCTGACATCGACACACAGTTTTCCATGACCACCCGTTTCCAATTCTGATCATCCCCAACTCCATCCATCTATCTGCACCCCAGTCATCCTTTTGGACTTCAACACAACCCCTAGCTCCCCATGCTTCCCTCATTTCCAACTCCATCCCTCAAATCCATTTGGACCCTAACCCCATCTGTCCTCACCCATAATTCCCAACCCATCTCTGTCCAATTCCTACATCTACTACTGCTCCTCACTCATTGCCCAGCCCCCCTCCAACTTGGCTCTGACTGGTTGTGTCTCCTCTTGTGCCAGGGTGACTCTGGGGGCCCTCTGGTCTGTGACGGGTCTCTGCAAGGCATCATCTCCTGGGGTCAGGATCCATGTGCAGTCACTAAAAAACCAGGTGTCTACACTAAAGTCTGCAAATATGTGGATTGGATCCATGAGACTATGAGAAAGAACTAGAGGAGACCTGTTCGCCACCGCCAAACCCCTCCGGCCTCTTCTTAATGCTTTGCCCCAAGAACCCCTCAGTCGGGACCCTTGCAAGTACTTTCTTGGACCCACCAAGATAGAAGATGTTCTAATCCAATGATCGACTTAGAGATTGGAATCAAATCCTTGCTTTACTAAGTTGTGACTCTAAACATGATCATTGCCGGGTTTTGTTTTGTCTTGTTTTTGGTTCAGTTTTATCCCCAGCCTTGAACATAGTTCCTGGCAATATATACCAGGGTTTCAATAAATATTTGTTAAATGAATGAAATCTATTGAGTGCTGACCGTGTGCCAATCCTCACCCAGAGGACTTTTAAATATTATCAACCAGGTGCTAGAGAGATGGCTCAGCAGTTAAGAGCACTGGCTGTTCTTGCGGAAGACCCGGGTTCGAACCAGCACCCACATGTCAGCTAACAACCATCTGTAAGTCCAGTTCCAGGGGGATCTGACACCCTCTTCTGACCTCTGCAGGCATTGCATGACACGGGTGCACTTACACACATGCAAGCATAACACTCATACACATACAATTTTTTATAAAAATGTTATCAACCAACTGAATGCTCACAGTCCCCTAAAAGGCTGGTCCTATTATTACAGGCATTTTCTAGCTGTGGAAATGGGCCCTGGGCACAGAGAGATGACATCACTGCTCATAGTGACACAGCCAAGTAGTGAAAGATAAAGGATTTAAAGAGATATTTATTTATTTGAAGCGGGCTCTCCCTGTAGCCCCAGCTGGCCTGAAACTCACTATGTAGACCAGGCTGGCCTCGATCTCATAGATTTACCTGCCTCTGTCTCCTGAGTGCTGGGATTTAAAGGTGTGCGCCACTGTGCATCAGCTATTTTTATTTTATATGCATGAATGATCTACCTGCATGTGCTTGCTTGGTCTCTGGAGGCCAGAAGAGGGTGTCGGAGCCCCTGGAACTGGAGTTACGGATGGTTGTGTGCTGCCATGTGGGTGCCAGGAACAGAGTCTGGGTCCTCTTCGAGAGCAACACGTGCTCTTAATCGCTGAGCCATTTTGTCTCTCCAGCCCCAAGGTTGGTCATTTGAGCTACCGAACAATGTTGCTTTCGATAAAGCTCAGTTCATTTTCATAGGTGGAAAACTGCTCCCATTAAAGTGTAAGAGCAGTGAGTGACCCCGAATGCTCAGATGAAGACATTGCAAAAAAAGCTAACATTCACACCGCCCCCCCAACGGGCCTGATTTAGTTTGGTGAGATCTCAGTTACACTTGACATATTTTGAAGGCTACGTATCACCACATGGCTGATATCTGGTGTGCAACACAACCATTGTAGTAAAAAGTTTGGATAGAGCTGAGCCGGGCAACCTCTGAAGTTAACTGAATTCTTGCTGGACAAGATACTCCACAGATAGCTCAGATGTTCTGTTCCACACTGGAGGAGAGGTGACTGGCCTGAGGAGGAAGCAACCAGAGCTGGAACTATATAGAACCTTCTGGTTGTTAGGAGGACTTGCTGTGTGACCTCTTATGAGTCATGGCCTTTTCTGAGCCTCCCATTCCTCACCCGAAATGAGGGTGTCAACAGAGGTGATGTGGCCTTACCTTACAGCCTGGGCCTCCTGTGATTCACCAGCCTGTGTATCACCTGGAGACATGGCAGGGAGTGGTGTAAGCTGGACACACATGGGTTTGGTGCAGAGCCATAGCCTCTCCCCATGTCCTTCTCCCTTACCCTTCCAGCACATTCTGAGACACAAGGAGCCCACTGTTTCTTGGTTTATATCTTTGAAAGATTGTCTGCCCCTCCCACTCTTTCCCTCCACCTACCTGAACTCTACCTACCTCCTTCCGCATTCTGACACCTCTCTGTCAAGACCAACCCACACCCCCCTTCATCTACCCTCTTGGCTACTATCACCATCACCCAATCATCCCACCACCTCAGGCTCCCTGAAGACATTGTATCATATCCTCTCCCTGTCCCATCACACCGGGGAAGACATAGATGAGAACATGGGAGATCCCCCAAGGAAATCACCTCTAAAAAGGGGCTGGAGAGATGGCCCAGTGGTTAAGAACACTGGCTGTCCTTCCAGAAAACCTGGGTTCGAATCCCAGCACCCTCATGGCAGCAAACAACTGTCCAAAACTCCAGCCCCAGGGGATCTGACAGCCTTGCACGACATGGGTGCACTTACCTACATGCAGGCAATACACACATACACATAAAAATAATAAATAAAAATTTTTTTAAAAAAGGTGTTTCTGTTACTGGGAGAAACCTGTATTCCAGGGTCCCTCCCAGAGCAGGAATCTGGGGCCCTGGTTGGGTGCCAGCCCCACCCACGATATAATTAGGGAGAGGGAAAAGAGGAGTGAGTCCCTGAGGGAAGGGTGTGGGAAGTTTCCGGGATCTTGGGGGTTAAAAGGGAAGGTCTGGCCAGGGATCCCCAGTCAGAGGACTGTGGGCAGCCCACACAGCCAGGTGTCCTCCCTCATTCCTATTGGCGACTCCCAGGTGAGCGGGATGCACCCCACCCTGATTGGGGTGGATGGTGAGAGAGGATGGGTGGGGACCCTCGGGCAACGGGCAGAACCCTTTTGTAGCCTTGATTTCCCTATCTGTGGCACGGGAGGAAGTCCCTCAGCAGAGAGGTTTAGGAAGAGGCTCTACTGGACTCTGAGCCTGAGACTCCCACCCACCTGCAAAGGAGGGGGAACCTGGAGCTCTGCGTTGCTAGTGAGCAGGCTGGGTGTGCAAACTGCTCCCCTCCTGAGGATGGAAGACTGCAGGAAGCCACCAGGGCCATCCTGGAGGTCCAGGCACACGTTCTACTCGCCCCTGCAGTGGTCTGTGGAGCGTCAAATGGTCCCTGTGAGCTAAGGTGGCCCAGGCCTGATGGACAGGGCCAGCCCAGGTGCGGGGGCGGGGGTTCTCAGACAAGAGCATCTGTTTTAGCGCTCCTCTCTGGCATCTCCAATTCTGGTCCCAGCCATGAGGCCCGCGCTTCTGCACCTCCCCGCTGCTTCTGGCACCCGGGTCCTGCTGAAGTTGCTGTTGCCGCTACTGATGGCGCAACTCTGGGGTGAGACCATGGACAAGGGGCGGCGGGAGGCCTGGGACTGGGGGAGGAGGAGCTTGGTATCCCCAACCTTCTGCAGCTCCCCCTCCTCGGTGCCCTGGCATCCACCCCGGGGCAGCAGAGCCCTCGTATAATTTAATACCCAGGAGTCACGCCCCATTGGATCAGAACCCACCCCTTTCCACTCACCTTTCCTGGTCTGTATCCTCCGCCCCCGCCCATCTCCGCTTCATTCCGTCCCTGCCCCTTCATGCTCCGTCCCATTCCATCCCAAGCGATGTCCTTCCTTCATCTTTTCAGCCCTGGCCCTTTTCTCTCTTCCCTCCTGCAGCATTTCTGGTCCCACCTGCATCTTGCTAAGGGATACGCCCCCTTGCTGTTCCAGGGATTTCCCCCCCCTACAGCCACAAGTCCTTCTGTCTGTCTACCTCCCCTCACTACCCCAGACCTTCTGCCCCCCCCACTGCCCCAGGCCTTCTGCCCCCCCCACTGCCCCAGGCCTTCTGCCCCCCCCACTGCCCCAGGCCTTCTGCCCCC